AGGAAGAAGCCCACAAAAAATTGGTTCATTTAGAGAAAAATTGAGAGTGTACCATCATGGCACCGACGCATGCCCCAAGCCTCTAGGAAACTTCCTTTGCAAGTAACTTCGTCCACAAGTTAAATGAATTCGAGTTGAAGTCGGATAAGGAAAATTTTGTCTAAATTTAGGAGGAAAAAGACTAGAAACCCCCTTTGTGTAACTAGTATAAATATAGTCTTAAGCCTAGACATTTTGTAAACCTTTTACTAGCACTCTACATAAGGGCATGAGTTAGAAATCCATAGAGAGGTGGCGAAGTGATATGATCCCAAATTACTTATATTCCAAGTCTCCATTGATTTTTGAAGAAGCAAGGTCAATTGAAAAGAAGCAACCTGGAAATTGTCCAAGTGTTTTAACTGTTTCAAGTAGCCTACTTTGCAAGCTTCGTCGTCACAATTGACTCAATGAAAATGCAAGGTGAAGGGTTTGTTTTGAAGAAAGAGTGTTACTTTACAAGCTGGGATGCTTGGATGCTCAAGGAGAAGTCAAGAAGACAATTTTCGAAGCTGTTCAAAAGCTTCTGCCAAAACTCAAAACCAAGAAAGTGCTAGTTTTTGGCCAAGTATGGAGAACAATCTGCGTGCCCAACTTTGGAGCCTCATGCGAGAAAATTGGTTGAGAGTCTAGTTAAGGGGTTTGTTTATAGGTGTTTTCTACTACTACCTAAAGGAGTTGGATGAAGGAAGATCTACCTTTAAGGCTTCAAACGAAGGAAAGCAATATCGTATAAGCCTGCAAAACTGTCTTGCAAACCAAGGATTCTGAATCCTTGTTGGATTAGGATTACACTTTACCTTTCATGTTTTGCACTTTGATTCTGAGTTTGTTTGTGTTTAGAACTTGTGTATTAGTTTGTTTACCTAACCTTGCTCTATTTAAGTCTTTCAATAGCATTGTAATAGTTGGATTTCGATTAATTGAATACAAACCAGAGTTCGATTCATCTAGCTTTGCTACGTGGGTTAAGAGAGCAACTCAGAAGAAGTTCTAGGTTGTTTGGAAAGCTTCTATCAATCAGTTTCCACCCTGATCGTGGCTAGGCATCGAACTATAATCTTTGAGCCTCTTTACCTTGTGAAGGTTTCAGGAGATTTCCATCCCAAATCGCACAAAAACCTCGCTATTTTTGTGTAAGTTTGTGATTCAATTCGATAGAATTGAGAAGGCTGCCAGCTCTGATCTAAAGAGACCCATCTAGGGCTTATCATGTGGCATCATGAGCCTGATTCAAGGGGCAACGACGGTGAAAAACTTACATGTCGCTTCAAGAATGAGGCACAAGGTCCTGATTGATCTGTGGGAGGAGTCAGATTCTGATGAAGAGGATCAATTGGACCAGCAAACCAAGGGAGAATCATCTCACAGTGTGGCTGAGGCTTTGCAATCCATGGTTGCAATGTTTCAATCCCATTTCGACCAGATTAATCGACTATTGGTCGACTAAACTTGAAGGTGAACGACCCTGTTCCGCCACGGACTGTAACAAAGCATAATACGAGGGTAGAGGCAGCGCAGAACCAGGAAGTTCCAATTGGAGGCGATCCAGCCTTGATGGACTGCAACCACAATCTGGAATGAAGGCTGATCACGACGGAGCACGACCACCGTGAACGGCATCACGACGATCATGAACACAATCATCGTCCCCCAGAAACCACCATTGTAGAGATCCGAGGAATGAAACTGTCCATCCCGTCTTTTTTGGCTCCAACAACGCCTCTAGCTACCTGGATTGGGAGAGAAAAGTGTTTCTTTTCTTCCAATGTGCGAATTACATGCAGCATCAGAAGGTTCTCTTTGCGACGTTCGAATTTATGGAATACGCCGCCCAATGATGGGAGCAAATCCAACTCCGACGACGGCAGAATATACAGCTAGAGATAGAGACTTGGAATGAGCTGAGGGGAATCATGAGGAACAGGTTTATTCCTGGATACTACCAGCGAGAACTACACGAATCTCTTTAACAAATTCGACAAGGATCGAGTGTTGTGGAGGATTATTTTTGTGAGCTGGAGTTACTCATGATGAAGGCCGATATCAGGGAGGACCGAGAAGCTACTATTGCTCGATTCCTTCATGGTTTAAAACGAGAAATCCGTCAAGAGGTGGATTTGAGTTGATTTGTTGAATTGGAAGAAGTTGTTCACTTGGCTATCAAAATTGAGAAGCATAAGAAGTCGACGACCTGCAGATTTACTCTGACAACCAAACTGCCGACAGAGGGGGACATCGACACCAATTCCACTCAGACAAGGCCCGATGTCAGTAAATTGGCACCCAAAAATGTTGCTCCATCTTCTAATGAACGCTCTAGTGGCATTTAGTGCTTTAAGTGCCATGGTCGAGGCCATAAAGGAAATCAATGTCCAAATTCAAGGACACTTATCGTTGGCGACGTAGAATACGTCACTGATGAAGAGAAAAGCTCTGACAATGAAGAGGATGTGGAAGAGGATCTAGAGATGGAGGCTCCTCCAGCTGGAAAACTCATGACCGTCAGTAGAATGGCCTTGACCATTGAAACTTCGTTGGATTCCGAATAGAGGGAGAATCTGTTTCATGGTGTCTAGGTAATGGAAATTTGTTTGTCTGAGGTAGTAGATGGTGGTAGCTGTGCTAATGTCATTAGCCAGGAGGTCGTGAATAAGCTCGACTTGAGCACAATCAAACAATCAAAACCATACAATCTTCACTGGCTCAATGACTATGGAGCAATTTGAGTAACAAAGCAAGCAATGGTGACCTTTGCAATTGACAAATATCAAGACAAACTTCTATTCGATGTTGCATCAATGCAAGCTGCTCACCTCCTTCTCGGAAGAACCTGGCAATTCGATAGGGGTGTGTGTCATTACAGGGGGTCTGACTGCAACAAAGTCCAGCATGGAGGGAAGAAGATTCTGTTGAAGCCTCTGTAACTAGAAGAAGTTCGAGCAGATCAGCAACAGTTGGAAGCCAGCTGACCGCAATCCAAGGGCGAGTCTAGTGGGAACCCACCTGAAACCTCAACTCGAATAAATTTCGTGTCCATTTCATGCTACCCGCATGTCGCAACCGTCCCTCCGGGGTCGAGGTCGCGTTCGCTTTTTGGAGTCTCCATCGATCTTACTTGGAGTGGATCGAACACTCTTCGGTCGGCTCTAACCATAGCGTCGAAACCGAGGCTTGGTCTACAATATCAACTGTCTACGTGCCCGTTAGACGAGATCAAAGTCCACATAGTTCGTTTGAACTTTGATCATTTTAATTATAACTTTCACCACGTTCCAATGAACGTGATTCTATTATTATAATTTTGTTAATAAAATTTCATTTAGATTACTATGAGGTTGTGACGATAAATGCAAGGATTTTAGTTATTAGGAAGTATTTTGACGTATTAGAAAGAAACAAGAGAAACTTAATCCGCATTCAGCATTTCGTATTAAGGATTTTAAACGAATAAAACTAAGCGGGATGATTATATTTCTAAATGATGGGGCAGCAGCCCAACTTGTTAAGTTGCCAGTCACAAAGCGCATTCGTTCCTTGAGAATGAGGGTTCAAAACCCGGTCACCACCATTTTTGGATTTCTCGTTTTATTTCAGAGAAAGGGGAAGGGTAGTTTTTATAAATACTCAAAAACACGGTGGCAAGGCCACGTAAATATCAAGAAACGCTAAGGGTAATTAAGTCATTTGCGGGTAAGTATAAAAGCATCTTTTAAGATGTAAAACAAAACCCTAATCAGCAAACCCCAAAACGACCGCCTCCTAACCCTATCTTCTCTCTATCTCGTTCTCTCTACCTCTCCGTCTCTCTCGTCTCTCGTCGGCTCGATCGGCTTGAGCAGCTAACTGCCTCGGTCGCTCGTCAACCGTTACATAAAACCGGAGGGCTTTTAGACTATTACTAGCCGATTTTGTGACTGGATGACGGTTTAACCGATTGGGCCGAGACTCGACTCTCTCACTTCGTTCGAGTATATTCGTTCCTCTCTTTTCAAACCGAGCATATTGATAAACTCTCACCCGGCTTTAATAACAATGATATTAGGGTTTGTGCTGGGGGTTCATTTAACCAAATTAACCTTTATTAAATTTTAACCGTATGGTTAACTTTGCATCTAATGGCTGGAGATTAAGTTAGCACGGTCTCATCCCGATGTCTCCGACTTGGAGAGAGGCGAACATCGATGACTAAAGTCAGCAATCAACCCCAATTCTTTCTCATTCCGTTTTCCTCGGCTTCTCGATGGCCGCCTACGATCTTTTTTCCCATCTTCTAGCATCAACCGCCGCGGAATCTCATCGCCACCGTTGACGGCGACGGCAACTCCTCCTCCCGCTAACCCACCGCTAACCACCAGAACTGCGACCGGGCCGACTCAAATAACAATCACCACATTCCTCCTCATTCTAACTCCATTACTTTCCGCAACCCTTTCGAATTCGTCAGCTCCGACGCTTCCTTCTCCGTCCTCCGCTGTGCGCCATCGATCCCTTCCGCAACGAACTCCCCGTATCGACGGACTGTACGAGGTTTTGTAGATTTTGCTGCTCCTTCCGATCGTAGTAATCAGATTGCTTCTTTGGACTCTGTTTGGGCGTGAGCTTCAGCTACGAAATTGGCGATTTGGGGATGGAAAGACAAGCACAGCCCTATACCCAGATGGCGCTCTCGCCTCATGTGGGTCACTAGGTTTACTGCCCGTGGCATTCTCTTCTCTTTTGGGTCTGATTTTAGCTCTCCCTCTTTTCCCTCGCTCCATCCTCCCTACTCCCTCTTATAAGTTGGTGTCAACTTGAGATACTACTATTCTAGGATTGATTAGTGGTGTTTATTATTATTTTTTTTGTCTGATTGCAATTACTGCATCTAGCTACCAGTTGATATGAAGGAAAGGAATTGCTCCGATGTTGTATCAAATCATGTTTCTTAGATCGAACCGATTTTTTTTTCTTTCTAAGAGATGTGCCCTACCATTGTCGCTTCCGAGTCGCATGATGCTTTATCTTTTGTGGGAACCATCAGCAGAATTATGCAGGTAATTCGAGATTTTCCTCTCAGGCGATTTCACCCTAGTCCGAGCTTGTCATCATTGTTATTATTATTTCCTTTTTGCCTCCTATATTCCGTTCTTCATGCTGTTTTATGCTTTTGTTGGTATTCCAAAAGGTAAAAAGTTAGATTTCTTTCATTTTGAAATTTTGACGATGCCATAGTGGTTTTGGGTTTCTCTTCATGCATAACTTAACATTGCATTTACATTTTTTGGCATAAAGATGGCATCTTGATTTCTGATCCAGCCACAGGAGAACAAGGTTAAGGCTGCAAAGTAGGCTGAACCATTCCTAGGGACAGTGGAACGGTAATAACCTTGACCTAGAGTGACATAATGGTTAGCCCTTTGCTTCAGCATTTCCTTTCGGTGGACTTGAATTTCGTTTTGCATATGGGGTGTATATTTAGAGCTATTGTTTTGTAGATATGTTGCGTTAATAGTTGTTTTGTGGTCTCAATTTCTTGGTACCATAACCTCTTTTATTTCTCATTATGCCTGTGTCTCAGTTTGGTACCATAACATCTTCTGATTCCCATTATGCCCGTTATTCATTGTCTATTATGGTTTTGTTTGTCCGTCGGATGCAGAAACGGATCCCAACTGTGAAGGATAAGTTGGTGGTGGTAACACATATACGGTCACTGAGTGCAACTGCTGTGGAAGCTTATGAGACCTCAAAGACTGCAATAATAGCTCACATAGTTCTGGTACAAAAGAATGATGGATTCCTACTTTCAGGTATATTTCAACTATACTCATGTTTTATTTTTGGGTAAACTATATTCACGTTTTGTTGTATGCCTGTTCGTAATTGTTCTCTAAAATGGGTTACTATATTTTCACATGAAGCTAAGAACTTGAGTAAGCCATATATTGATCAAGTTGCCACTGTTACTGAACACCATGTTGAGAAACCATACACAAAGAATGTAGTGTTGGCATATCGGACGTTTCTGTATTGGCGACTACCTACCATTATCAGGTAGGTGTAAATTTATGTGTGTGTATTATTGTTTAGGCTTTCAGAACTATTTCAATAAATATCCTCTGTGTATTAGTTGTGTATTTTGTTTCTATTTTTCTGGGAAGTCAACTTAGAATGACCATTCTCTATGATTTTGTACAAACATCATAGCTAGTGCAGACTTGAGTGATTTTTCTTCTTAGATGCAAGGAACTGTTCAAGATACCCTGAAAAGGCCTGAAGATACTGAATCTCTTGCAACTGATGAATTTGTCTACTTTGTGGAATATACTTATTATTGTATATAATACAGAAAAGATATCGTTATTCTATCATGAAATCCAGCTCTATAATTCTGTTTAGTACATTAAGACTAATTGATGGGTGCATGAACTGCTGCTGTAGGCACCAGCGACATTGGTCCTGCTTAGACTTTGTCCAGCTGTTTTTCTGGTTGGTTTCAGAATTTCGATCAATTGTCATTTCCCCACTTTTTCCAGTCTGCTAAATATGCTTCAATGATCTTGCAGCAATATATCAAAGAGACCAACTAGCCAACTAGAAATGCCCATTCCAGCCACATACTTCTGCTACTTGACAATGCCTAGAAGGAAACACATAACCTGGTTTATCATGAGACGTCTCGGTTAAAGAAGGTATATTGTTTTCTGTTCAAGTGCAATTACAATCATATTTCTCTCAAGGTCAGCATCTGAAAGGCCATACTTCTTCTGATCTCTCCCTTCCATCCATCCATGGGACAAACGTTCTAATGCTGCAGTTCAATGGGAGAGAACAGTGACCTGCCTGTTTCTATGTTCAATGCTATGCTACAAAACAGGGAGAAAAAATCAAATACACAAAAAGTACGTATCTTTTGTTATCTCTCTCTCCAGAATTGTTTCATTCAGCTCTCCCTTAAGCAGTTTGTCACCTTGTTGTTTTGTCAATATTTGATATCCCTGCATTAATATATGGATAGAGAAAGAAATGAGTACATGAAAAAGGGTGTTGGGGGTGGGGTGGGGAGGGTAGGGATTTTCTTACCGGGCCTGAAACCAGAATGCTGGGTGATCTCCATTCAGATTGTTTGTGAAATATTCCAGGTGATTGGTTCTCAGGTTGTAGACACCAGCTGATCGAAGTCTGGGTAACTCATATCCACGAATGAGAATATAATCAGGTGCAAAATACACCCGGTCTTCTTTCACCCCCTTAGTCGTGTCAGCAGGGAGGACGATGGCCTGATGGGGTCCCACAAAAGCTGCACATCCCTGAAGGCGTTTTACCCGCGTCCACTCATAGCCATCCGAATCGCCGTCTAGTCTGAATACCTGCAGCAATGGATAAATGAGTAAGAGGATTCTATATTTCTTCAATTTACCCAAGTTCAAAATCTAGCTGAAAATGAATGGCAAAGTTCCCTCTTTCAATTTACAGGGCATAGAGGCTGGGTCGGCTGGGAGGAAAATGAAGTTAATCGGGCTGCTGATGTGTTTAAAGGGTCTTCTCCTAAAAATGCAGCTGCAAAACTCACCTGGATTACATTGATTAGTATGCTATGTGGGCAGGGGTGTAAGATTGTTTATGCTGTTTGCAATGTGGAAAGGTTGCTGACGGAAGTGAAGAAGGAAGTTTGCATTTTGTTCCCTGATGCAGCAGGAATGAAGTGATGGTTATGGAGGCTGTAACTTTTTTTGGTTTTCATTAAGTACCTCAGGAGGTTCAAAATATTAGTCTTCCCCCATGACTGATATATAGAAAGGACTTGTTTTTGTACAGGTAGGTAGGGGTAGCTCTGTTCATTACATGCATAGGTGTTGCTGGTGGTACTTGGGGTTTTCTTATGATATACACAAACCAACCTATTCCTAAATAAAAGTGAAGAAAAATCTATGTATATGATATTAATCATGTAAATGCGACTATGTTCAACAACATCGACTTACAAAATCTATCTATATGCAATTAATTACGTATATTCAAACACCAAAATAGACTAAAGTAAGAGAAACTTATTTACTTGAATCAGAGGGCCAGCTTCACGAAGCGGGTCGATGTAGAAGTCACGAACGATTAGGTGCAGCCTGCCATGGAGGAAGCACACATATGGCTGCAAGAAGCCATCTCGGTCTGGAGTCCCGCTTCTCCGAAATTCGGCTGCGAGCTCACCCGAATACACGAACCTTGTTACTTTCTGTTGAATGGCGGGAATTCCAAACCCCTCAACTACGTGAACCGAGCGGTTGCCGCTGAGGAAGAGTTTCCCGTCATGGAATCCGCCGTCTCGCATTATCTCCGCCGCGGGGACAAGGGACGATTGCAAGTATTTCCAATCAAACGCTCGATCACCAAAATTGATCCAGAGAACCTGGAACCTCTCTCTACTCCTGAAATCGATGATGAAGACGGTCGACCAAGAAAGCAGTGCTTTGGCGCAGTATACCCGCCCAGCTTCACTACCGGGCAGGGGAGGTAGAGGCACGCATTTACCAGTGACCGGATTCAGCAGGTATAAGTCAAGCATGAGCTCGCGATCACTGAAGGGGCGCTGTAAAGAACGTAGAATCCACCCATCTTTGCAACCGATAGATTGAGCCGCTTCAGGGTAATCGGGCTCGATTTCTTCGGCCAAAGATTTGGACAACGCGAAAAGCCAATACCACCGGCGTTGGCGGGACAGGACATCGGAAATGGCAGTGTAGGTTGGAAAAGAGGGCAGTCGTATTACCGGCAACGGCGGTGGCTGATTGTTCCGGCCGAACAAAGCAATCGGCAGAAATCGATGGTGTTGGCCGGGGACGTTGGTGTCGGAGATGAGGAGACCGGGAATGCTAGTCAGGCGGCGGAAGCGGTCCACATTCAGAGCCTCCTTCCTCCAGTTCCTGCAAACGCCGGCGAAGGCAATGAGGTCCCGGCGTTCCTTCATGAGCTCCGCCAACTTCACCAATGCAAACGCCGGCAACTCTGCGTATCTCGTCATGCTATGGCTGGAGAAGAACAGCCGATCAACAGCTCGTTTCTTGTGGATTCTTGATTCTGTTGTGCTCTGTTTCTTGGGACTGACCGGGAATGGGGATTTTTTCAACTCGTGAATTAACGGACCTACGATTTGTTAATCGCTCACTTTTAACTTGATAGTTTTCAGGCCCGCCCCCTAAACGACCATAGTCTATATTTTTCAGGCATGCAATAACTAGTCCCCGTAGTTAATCCATATATGTTATTTGGGCCCGGAGATACAGTTTACACTTTACACTAGTGCTGCCATTTTAACCAAGTAGTATTTGAAAATTTTGGTTTGACGAATTTGGATAATTGGTTTGTGTAGTTAAGTATTAAAGCTTGCTTGGTTTCATATAACAATTGTGAATTAACAGACTACAACAATTTGTTTTAGTGTAGACTCAACATATGAATGTTAAATTTAGATTAAACTCATACATTATGTTGGTTAATTTGGTTCTTGTATTAGTTTGGACGATCTGGTTATGATATTGTATTTCATGGTTAATAAAATTTAGACTTATTTAGTTTGGTAATTACCATAATAACCATTTGAACATCCTACTTTATGTGCCCATATATTTTTCATATAACAATTATGTGCCAAAATTTTAGTTTTGCTAACTTTGATCATTAGTAATTTACAATCTACAATTAAATCAATGAGGAGTCGTTGAATTTGAATTTCTTTATAAAGCCAACTTATGAAGTTCATATATATATATATATATATATATATATATATATATATATATATATATATATATATATATATTTACGAACAAGGATATTTTATTCAGAAATGATTGTGTAACAAGAAAGCCCTATTACAACAAGGGAGAAATCAAATCCAAAATATGGATCCATTTATTGGGGAGGGTACCCTTACAAGCCTCTCTAGCCACCCAATTTGCACTTTTGTTACCAGAACGGGGCACAAACTCTAGTGTGATTCGATGATTGAGAGATATGAGATGGCACATACTTTGGATCCAAGCCATGACTTGCCAGTGGCCTTTCTTCTCAGGAGAATAAAGGATGTCGATGATGATTTTGCAATTCGAGAGAATCCTTGTCGGGAGGTCTGAATCCCCTGCATACTTGAGAGCAACACATAAGGCATTTGCTTCCGCAACAATCGCTTCTGAGCAGAATAAAGTATCAAAACCTTACCGGCAATCACTTGCCCAATGTTGTTGTAGACGACAACACAGTAAGCCGCCAACTGTGATTCCGAGACAGGCTCCATCATAGTGTAATTCCAGTTGGAAAGAACCAGACGATGGGTTAAAGAGGGTATAGGGTGGAATAGAGTGATTTCCGGTCGAATGGGCAGGCTTTTGGAAAGCTCCATTCCTATCAGAGACATGCCGAATGGCATTGGAAGAGGTGGTGAAGGTCAAGGGCTGCTATTCCCGAAAGACTTTCTCATTTCTGGCATTCCAAATAGCCCAAAGAGAGCCAATCACAGCCATGACAGGGGGGAGCTTGGGGATTCGAAGAGAGGAGGTGGAGCCACATAAGGATCGGCGCAGAATCTATAGGGAGGTAAAGAGAGCTTAAAAGAGAATGCCAAATAAGTTGTGCACTGGGGCATTTGAACAGACAGTGAATCGCATTCTCCACTACAGATTTCCAGACATTACAAATGGGGGAGTTGATGACTCTCTTGAACTCAAGGTTCTTCTTTGTCACCACTATGTTCCGAGTCAATCTCCATATGATATTCTTAATTTTAGAAGGGAGGGAGAGGCTCCAGAGCCATTGACACGCCAAAACACAACACCAAACTGCGACCAAGTGTAATCGCAGTCTGGGAATGCAGTAACAGGCAAGTTCTATTATCAACCGGGGGCCTAGATCTACTGCTTACTCCGTGATTGTCTATTATCTAGCCAACTAATTCGATTGATTGTTGTTTAAAGCAAAAGCAGTAAGAAAACAGGAAATGGTTCGGTTTTCAAAAGCAGGAAAGAGTCACTCGGGAATGAGTCCCCCTAGCCCCTTAGTTAGGTTCAATTGTAATTCCCCTGGGTTGATTCACTGTTGATTAGACTGCGGACGATCAGACAGTAGCTTGGAATCTCTTAAGCTGACCAAGCCCTCTCAGTCTAACTACCCGGCAGACGACTAGTCTTCACCGGGGTAGAAAGCTGAGGCTATGAACACAGAACTCCACTACTGGAATTGAATTCCAGTACAAAGCAGTAAACTGGCTAACTCTCGTATAACCAATCTCCTACTATCGAATGAAGAGGCTCTAACAACCTAATCAGATTCTATCTATCTCAGATTGCAGCAGAAATCGAGAAAAGCTGATCAGACTTCAATCAATTCAATAAACATGCATCATTCGATTAAAATCAAACAGTATAATCATCCCAAGTCATTACAATCAAATCCCTAACACAAGGAACTAGGGTTCTTCATACCCAAGTGAGAGAAGGGTTCTACTCCATAGAGAGAGAAGAGAAAACAGTAATCGGAGTAGTCATACTCATAATGATGTGGAAAATCTGCTCCGGGATGATGATTTCCACTCCTATGACGATCCCCAAGCTCGATTCGATGAAACCCAGCTCCAAGATAGCTTCTAGGATGTGTTCTTCGTACTTTCTCTCTCTAGGGCTCTGTTTTTGCTCTGAAAACTCGATTCTCTCACTTTTGGATCGAAAGTGGCTGAAAAACCAGAATTTCCCGACTCACACGGGCAGGCCACACGGCCGTGTGGCTCACCCATTTGGCTGTGCGAGTCGAAACGCGCCGTATCACTTAGGTCGATCTTCAGCCATCCCACACGGCCAGGGTCGCACGGCCGTGTGGATTTCCTGAGTTGCCCGTGTTTGCTCTCGGCGAAAGTCACACGGCCACAATTGCAACTTGCACGGCCGTGTGACACCCAGGACTGCCCGTGCAGCTTCCTTAGAACCTCGCCATGCGTCCGATCCTCGTCCAATTGACCCCAAACTCGCTCCCAAGCCTCCATTCACGTACTAGGACCTGAAATATCACAACCAAGCACAACCTTGCGTGAAATCGGCCTAAAACACGAGAATCAATACCTCAAACAGTGTAAGAACAGGGGTAAAAACATGTGTAAATAACGGTCTATCAGCCATTTCCAAGCTTGAGAAGAGAAGCTAGGATGGTTGGGATCAGGGATGTTCAACCTAACATTTTCACATAAAAAGGAAATAGTACGCCAATGGTGCCTTGCAAGTTACCGTAACTTGCACAATTCGGTCGAACTATGTATAATTGCAATCGATGGTCACCAGCGTCGTCACTTCTATGGAAAATCACGGTCGGCCATTAACATATAGTGGTCGAGTGTTTTAAGTTAGTTGATACTGAAATGGTCGACAAAAATAAAAAAAAGTGGTAAACGAGAAGAGGCCGACTACTTGATGGCATTCATTAACCAAATGGTTGACCATTTACACCAAGAGGTCGACTACTAGATAGAAGGCTAAACTACTATCCATTCATCCATCCTCTTGAAGTGAAACGTAGATAAAAAAAGTTGGTTTCGCATTCGATCGCATACAGTAAAAGGTCGACCACTTATAGGAAATCATCCTATAACCTTCGACTTTTGTGCTTATGTCTGTCGATCTGTGTGCTTCATTTGCTCGTATAAATTACGATTTACACCAACAGAATTAATCCACGGCCATGATATCAAGAAACCATAACTCATAACAACTTAACAAACTAACACCAAATACAATAAAACACACCTCACAATAGTTCACACATACCTGAAATCAGAAACCACAATGGCTTAATATCAATCCACGATCATATGTTCTTCAAACCAAATCATCTTTAAGACTTAAAAAAACAATCTAAATCATGGAGTTCTTAGACCTCTCCCCTCTCCTCTCACTCATCCACATTTTCCTCA